AAATTTATTTTTGTGTATGATGTAAGTTCATGAACAAGTTTCATTTTTTTTTTTGCAGGTAGCTGTCCAACTCTCCCAACACCATTAGGTGAAGAAGCTATTTTTACTCCATTTTATGCTTTTGCCCCCTTTGTCAATTAATAATTTACTATAGAGATTTGGGTTTATTTCTGGGCTCTCTGTTCTGTTCCACTGGTCCATGTATCTCTTCTTGTGCTATTACCATGCTGTTGTGATACAGTGGCCTAGTAATGTAGTTTGATATCAGGTACTATGTTCCCTCCTACTTTGTTCTTTTCTTAATATTGCTGAAGCTATTTGAAGTAAGTTATGGCTCTATATAAATTTTTAAGTGCTTGTTCTATGTCTGTGAAATGTATCAAAGGTACTTTAGTTGGTACCATATTGAAACAAATTGCTTTGGGTAGTGTGGACATTTTGATGATGTTAATTCTTCCAGTACACAAACACAGTATATGCTTCCATTTGTTTGTGTCTTCCTTAATTTCTTTCCTCAGTGTTGTGTGGTTTTCTGAGGACAGATCTTTTACCTCCTTAGCTAGGTTTATTTCTAGATATTTTATTTTGCTTTTGTTGCCATATCAAATGGGATTTCTTTTCCTGATTTCTGTTTTTGATATTTCATTGTTGATACACAAAAATGCTTTTGACTTCTGAATATTGACTTTGCATCCTTCTGTTTTGTCAAATTCATTTATTAGGTCTGGCAGTTTTTTGGTGGAGTCTATAGAATTTTTTATGTACACTATTATGTCATCTGCAAACAATGACATATTTGTTTCCTCCTTTCCAATTTGGATGCATTTTATTTATTTTTCTTTTCTGATTGCTGTGGCTAGGACATCCAATACTATGTTGAATAGAAGTGGTTAAAGTGGGCAACCTTGTACTTTTCCTGATATTAGTGGGAAAGTTTTTAGTTTTTTCCCATTGAGTATGTTGTTGGCTGTAGGTATTGCATATGTTGACTTTATTAGGTTGAGGAATCCTCCCTCTTTTCTCACTTTGCTGAATGTTTTCATCATAAACAGATACTGTACATTATCAAATTCTTTTTCTGCATCTATTGATATGATCATGTGATTTTTATCTTTTATTTTATATGATGTATGACAGTTTTTGATTGGTGGATATTGTTTCATCCTTGCAACCCTGGATGACTTCCACTTGATCATGATGTATAACCTTTTTAATGTATTGCTGGCAATGATTTGCCAATATTTTGTGGGGGATTGTAGCATCTATGTTCTTCAATATTGGCCTGAAGTTTTCTTTCTTTGTTGTATATTTATTTGTTTTGGGGATTAGGATGATGCTGGCTTCATGAAAAGAGTTTGGGAGTCTTCCATATTCTTGGATTGTTTGAATAGTCTGTGGAGAATAGGGGTTAGCTCTTTCTCAAATGCTTTGTAAAATTCTCCTGTGAAACCATCCAGTCCAGGACATTTGTGTGTTGGTTTTTTTTATTATTTTTAATACTTGCCAGTGCATTTTTTTAAATTTTTTATACTTTATTTATTTATCTTTAGAAGGGAAGGGAAGGGAAGGGAAGGAGAGAGGAAGAGAAATATCAATATATGGTTGCCTCTCATGTGTCCCCTGCTGGAAACTGGCCTGCAACCCAGGCATGTGCCCTGACTGGGAATCAAACTGTGCTCTTTTGGTTCACAGGCCCATACTCAATCCACTGAGCTACACCAGCCAGGGCTTTGTTGGGAGTTTTTTGATTACTACTTTAATTTTATCAGCTGTCATTGGTCTTTTCAGGCTTTCTGCTTCTCCTTCATACAATTTTTGGAGATTATGTTTTATAGAAATTTGTCCATTTCACCTAGGTTTTCTGATTTCTTGGCATATAGTTGTTCTTAGTAATTTCCTACAATCTTTTGTATTTCTGTGGTATCGGCTGTAATATCTTCTTTCATTTGGAATTGTTTGTGTTTGGGTGCTCTCTCTTTTTTTTCTTGATGAATTTGCTTAAAGGCTTGTCAATTTTATCTTTTCAAAGAACCAGATCCTGGATTTATTTATTTTTAGAATTGTGCTTTTAGTCTCTGTCATTCAATTCTGTTCTGATCTTATTTCCTTCCTTCTACTTGTTCTGGGCTGTCTCTGTTGTTGTTCCTCAAGTTCTTGTAGATGTAGGGTTAGGCTGTTTGTTTGAAATGTTTCTATCCTTTTTAGGTAGGCCTATATCACTATGAAGTTCCCTCTCAGTACTGTCTGCACCTGTGTCCCATAAGTTTTGGATTGTTCTGAGTTTATTTTCATTTGTTTCCAAAAACTTTTTTATTTTGTCCTTGATCTCATTCTTCACACATTCATTGTTTAATAGAATGGTATTCTATCTCTATGAGTTAGAGTGTTTTCAAGTTTTCTCACTGAGGTTGGTTTCTGGTTTCCTTGTGGTCAGAGAAAATGCTTTATATTATTTCAATTTTCTTAAATTTGTTGAGGCTTCTTTTGTGTCCTATCATGTGGTCTATCTTTGAAGACGTTCCATGTGCATTTGAAAAGAATGTGTATTTTGCTTCTTTGGGATGGAAGACTCTCTCTATATATCAGTTAATTCCATTAGGTCTAGGACATTGTTCAATGCTACAATATCTTTATGGATATTTTGTTTAGAAGATCTACCCATTTTTGACAGTGGGATTTTAAAACCCCCTACTATAATAGTATTTCTTTCAATATCTTTCTTAACATCCTCCAAGATTTTCTTTATATATTTGGGTGTTCCTATTTGGGTGCATATATATTTATAATGTTTATGTCTTCTTGATTGATTCTTCCCTTGAGTATTATGAAGTGTCCTTCTGGGTCACATTTTTATGGCTTTTATTTTCAAGTCTATTTGATATGACACGAATGTTACTAACCCTCATTTTCTTTCCTGTCCATACGTTTGGGATATTTTTTTTCCAACCCTGCACTCTTAGTCTGTGGAGGTCTTTTGTTCTGAGTCGGATCTCTTTTAGGCAGCATATGTGTAGGTCATGAATTCTTATCCATCAGCTACTCCATGTCTCTTGATTAGAGCATTTAATCCATTTACTTTTAAGGTTATTATTGATAGGCATTTGTTCTCCCTCCCCCCACTTTTGTACTGGTGTTCCTTTCTCTTTCACTCCTTTCCTTTATCTTCTTATAGTAGTCCCTTTAGTAAAACTTGTAGGGCTGGTTTAGTGGAGATGTATTCTTTCAGCCTTCTTTGTCTGGGAAAATTCTTATTTGGCCTTCCATTTTAATCGAGAGACTACTGGGTAGAGTTATGTTGGTTGCAAGCCTTTGCTTTTTTTTTTTAACTTGGTATATCTCCTGCCATTCTTTCCTGGATTAGAGTCTTTCTATTGATAAATTAGCTGCTAGCCTTTTCGGAGCCACTTTGTATATTACTTCTTGTTTCTTTCTTGCTGCTTTTAAGATTCTTTGTTTTAAACTTACTATTTTAATTATGATGTGTCTTGACGTAGGCCTTTTAAGGTTTGTCTTCATTGGGTCCTTCTGAGCTTCCTGAACTTGCATGTTTTTTTTTTCCCCTTTCCAGGTTTGGAAAGTTTTCTGTCACTTTTTTAAACAAGGTTTCTATTTCTTTTTCCTTTACTTATTCTGGTATTCCTATGATTCCGGTGTCATTGCTTTTCATGTTATCTTGTAGTTCCTTTAAGTGTGTTCATTTTTAAAAATCTTTTTTCATGCAGCTACTCTACCTGGGTGTTTTTTTTTTCCACTTTGTCTTCCAGCTCACTAATTTGGTCCTCTGCTTCACCCAGCCTGTTTGTAATTCCTTCTAGTGTGCTTTTTATTTCTGTGATTTTACTGTTCATCTCTTCCTTGTTTTTGGTTATAGTGTCTATTTTCTGTTGCATGCTTTTGTAGTTCTCACTCAGTTCTTTGTAGTTGTCTGTGAGTTTCTTGACCATATTTATAACCATTCTCTTGAATTCCATATCTGAGAGTTTGCTTACCTTCACTTCATTCAACAATTTTAGTAGGGAGTCTTCCCTTTTTTTGATTACAGGCTTTTTTTGTCTCCCCATTTTAGGTGACCTTTTTTGTTTTTGTCTGCACTTCCTGATGTTTCACTTTGCTAGCTGTCTTTGTATGGTGAACTTATGGTTGTATTTATATGGGATTCAGTGGCGTGATCTCTTTGATCTCCTTGTCTGGATACTGTAGGTTTGCCCTTTCTTCTGTTTGTGTGGGCTTTTTTGTTGTACTTGGTTTTTTACCTTTTGGTGGTTTCTTTGTTGGTAGTTTGTCTCCTCCAGCAGGTATACTGATGTTCTCAGCTCCCACCTATTCTTGTATGTGATCAATGGCAAGGGGTAGGCAAAATGGAAAGAGACAAAGAGATAGTATTTTATGGGATTCAAAGTAGCAACAAGTAGAGAAGAGATAGGAGATTCTTTGTGTAAATATAGCATTAACCCCACTAGCCACTCTCTATAAAAGGTGAAAGATAGATTATACTCTTGTTAGAGGGGACACATATTGTTAGCTAAATCCAGTAAACAGAGCATTTACAGAAGATTATATGATCAAATATAGTGAGAATAAAAGATAGAAAGTAGGTGTAGTGTGTGACATAATAGAGTTAATCACAACAATAATAAAGCTCAGAAATAAAGTGAAGTGGGTAAGATCATGGAGGGGTGCTGTGTAGTATGTACAATTGTATGGAACAACAATTATTTACAATAATACTGGGGAAAAACAATAATATGACAAGAAATATATGTTTTGGAAAACCAGAATAGAAAATACACAATCAAGAGTAGTGTGTTAGGGAACAAGAGTGAAGTGAAAGAAGAAAAATTAAATACAATATGAAAGTGAGAATAAGGAAAACTAGTTAAATAATGCAATTAAACAGAGAAATAAAATGAAGAAAACTAAACATAAATAAGATAAATTAAAAATACTAATAAAATAAAAGAAATAAAAATAATGAGAAAGTAATAATAATACAAATAAACAAAAAATTGGAATTCTTCACAAATTTGTGTGTCATCCTTGCATAAGGGCCACACTAACCTTCTCTGTATCATTCCAATTTTAGTATATGTGCTGCTAAAGTGAGCACTCACATTCTTCTCATTCATTTTTCCATTTATAAACAGCAGAGCTGAGAGACATGAATCTAACTTCTAGGGTGTGATTTCTGGCTCCTCCATCAGCTACTCTCATGACACCCTTTTTATCTTCATCTTATTTCTTTCACTCTTTCTTTTTTCACTCATTTTCATTTGTTTTTTCTCAGCAGTGTCTTCCAGAAGTAGCCTCTGGCACCTCTACCCTTTGGCAGCCACTGGAGTTCAGTTCCCCAGAGAGTAGGTCCCAAGAAGCTCTTGAACTCTTGGCCTGTTCTCATATCATGTCTTTAGAAGAATTCATGAAAGGAGACTCCCACCCAATGGCAGGACATGCCACAGAGCCTGCAGCTTCTACCCTACTCCTCCTGGGTAATAACCTCCACAGTTTCTAGTTCCAGCAGGACACTCCCATGTGTCCAGACTCTTCCCTGGCCATTCTCCTGTCCTGCTCACCCCTTGGGCTTCCCCCTGACCTAAACAGCATTCTCATCACTCATATTTCATGATCATTTCTACCCTCAAGCTATATTTCAGTTTTCATGTCCTTTTATGTATGTCACATTTAAATTTCTTAAACCACCCCCTTCTTTTTACCCATTTCCACTGCCTTAATTTATTCTAATGTTTTCCTTCTGCCTAAGTGGGTCCTGCCTTCAAGCAGGATACTCATCAGTGTACTTCAAAGGGTGGAAAAGAGTAGTCAAGGCCCTCTGAGATAAATTATTCTCATTTTCCCACTCCCACTCCCTGCCCCAGGCTCACTCCTTTGAATGTCCCAAGTTCCATTCTACCTTGGTGTCTCAGCTCACACCTAATGTGCAGCATGAAGTTCCCACACTCTTCACCCTCCCAGGCATGACCCCTATATCCTTGCTCCCAAGCCTCTCTCCACATAACAAGGACACATTCCATGGGCTGTGTGTCCAGTGATGTGAGTGCAGTGCTGTTCAGTCTGTCTTTCTCTCTTTGCTTTTGCAAACTCCATGGTCTGTACTTAACAATGTAGATGATTAGAGCAGTGTCCATTTTCCAGTCCTCTCTGGACTCTTCTGCATGTATTAAACTATTCGATTACCATGCTAGGCAGGGACTGGGACATGAGGACGCATGAAAGTACAGGAATGGTTCTTAACATCTGGAGTTCATGGCCCAGTGTTGTGGTCTCAGTATCCAAGGCTAGAGTGCTGATTCAGGGCAGCTCTCTAAGTACAACTCTCATGGTCCAAAACATCCCTTGCCAAGGTAGCATCAGCCACTGCAACCTCTGTTATGAAGCTCTTGTGCTGTGGACATTTCAGCGAGAATCAAATGGAGCCACCATTCCTGATTAAGCAGACAAATCAGATTTGTCTGCATTGGCTGAAACTTCATGACTGGACAGTGAAGTGGTGTGTCCCTTCAGCCTCCATACAAGGTCACCTAGTAGCCTCTTTCTCCTTCCTCTCTGAGTACCCTGTGAAGCATCAGCCTCTGAGCAGGAGGCTCTGCAGTGCCTCCCACACACTGTAGTCCTTTAGTCCTAAATGTTGCTTCACAGAAAATAAAAAAGAGATTGTGAGTCTTTCTGATTACCAGGAGAAGAAAAGAAAATGTAGGCTACTTCACAAATACAGAAAACAGGACCACTCATAGAAATACAAAATAGAGAATGAGAGGATGAAAGTAAAAGTGAGTGTATCTGTAATAATATGTAAATAACATACATTAAATTAGGATAAAAAATTATTACATACTACTATAGTGAAGCATCTCAGAAAGAATGAATGAGAGAGCAGTAATAAAAACAAACAACTTCCATATTATATTACCAAAAGGTATTAAAATTACATTAAAACCACATTATAGTAATGAAATATATAATCCAAAAACAAATATTTGTGCTAGTCCTTTATGTGTCAAATAATAAATATATCATTAAATGTCAAGCAAATATTGCCATAAACAGAATAAGACACTTTCTTATAGATGTCCTCTTTATCAAAAACAGCTTCCCCTCCTGCACAGCAAAGAAAACCATCAATCAAATGAAAAGACAACCTACTGAATGAGAGAAAGTATTTGAAAATCACATATTTAATAAGAGGTATGATATCTAAAATATATTTCAAAGAGTCGCACAACTCAATACCAAAAAAAAAAAAATCTGAGTAAAAACTGGGCAGAGCATCTGAATAGAAATTTTTCCAAAGAAAACCTACAAGTGGCCAACATGTACATGAAAAGATGCTCAACCTCACTAATCATCAGAGAATTGCAAATCAAAACCGCATGAAATATCACACACCTGTTAAATTGGCTATTTTTAAAAAGAAAACAAACACTAAGAATATGGAGAAAAAGGAACCCTTGTACACTGTTGATGATAATTCATATTGGTGTAGCCACTATGGAAAGCAGTCTAGAGATTTCTCAAAAAAGTTAAAAATAGAACTATAATATGACCCAACAATTTTATTCTGGGTATTTATAAAAAAAATGGAAACACTAACTTGAAAAGATATATTCACCCCATGTTTAATGCAGCATTATTTACAATAGTCAAGGAATGGAGAAAAATACTAGGTTTCTGCTGATGAATGAATGGATAAAGAATATCCATATGGTATATATAAAGATAATGTAATATTATTCAGCTATAAATGAAAATAAAATATTACCATTTGTGACAACATAGATAGACCTTGAGGACAATATGTGAAGTGAAATAGGTCAGATAAGGGCAAATACTGTGTGATCTGACTTACATGTGAAATCTAAAAAATAAAAATGGGAAGCTCATAGATTCAGAGGACAGAGAGGTGATTGCCATAGTCAGGGAGATGGAGGGTGGACAAAACAAGTATAGCAGATCAAAAGTTACAAATATCCAATTAAAAAATAATTAAGTCCTGGGAATATAAGATAGAGCATGATGACTATAGTTAATAATACTATATTGTATACATGAAAGTTCTTAAGGAAGTAAAAATTTCTCATCACAAAAAAAGAATTTTGTAACTACATATGATCACGGCTGTTAACTGAACTTAGTGTGATGGTCAATACACAAAACATGCAATATGGAACCATTGTGTTGTGAACTTGAAACTACGATAATGTTATATGTTAATTATACCTCAACAAGAAAAGAAAAACTGCTTCTTTGACTCATTAGCTATGCTCTTACACTTTGCAGGTTTTATTAATACATATCAGGACACAAAATTATATTATTTATGTTTATCTGTGGGTTATCTATCTCACTTCAATACACAATAAATTTCATAAAATTCTTAACATCTATAATACTATCTGTATGATAAGCATGTAACATGTTTGATTAATTCATTAATAATAAAATAGAAAAACATCCTCAAATTGGAAATGGAAAAGGAGAATGTATTAAAACACAAAAGATATTAAAGCAATTGTGAGATGAATATATATATGTATACACATATATATCTTACATATACATATATAGGTATATAACACAAAGACAGACAACAGAGTTGTAATAGTCAGCAGGAAAGGGGCAGGAGTAGGAGTTGGTGGGCAAAAAAGGTGGGGGGTTTGGGGATGGAAAGAGACTTTGCTTGGGGAAATGGGCACACAATGCAGTGTGCGGATCATGTTTATTGAGATGTATATTTAAAATCTGCATGATATTGTGAACCAATGTGACCCCAGTAAACCCAATGTTAAATAAAGACCTCAAAAAGGTAATATTTTCTTCAATTATCTGGCAATACATAAAAATACTTGCATGAAATCAAAAAGGATCCTTAGGAAAAAACAACTTACCACTATTAACAGAAATATGTATTTAAAAAAGAAATAACATGTTGCTGTATATAATCCACACTTTGCCAGGTGCGGTGGTGCACACGTGTAGTCCCGGATACTTGGGAGGCTGAGGCTGGAGGATCCCTTGAGTCCAGGAGTTCTGGGCTGTACTGTGCTATGCCAGTGGGGTGTCTGCACTAAATTTGGCATCAATATGGTGACTTCCTTGGGGGGGGGGGTGCCAGATTGCCTAAGAAGAGGTGAACCAGCCCAGGTTGGAAATGTAGCAGGTTAAAACTCCCATGCTGACCAGCTATAATGCACACTTTGTTGCCTAAATTTTTGAAGGAAAAATAAGGATTCACTTTATACATTAGTATAATGATTATATGCCATAGGTGTAATAATCCCATGTATAATGCACACAATATGTAGGTGAGCATTATACGTGGCAAAAAACAATACTGCTGTTTGGCTGACCAGATAGATAGTTAGAGAGACATACAGATAAACACCTATGGATGATAGATGATAAATACATAAATATGCATATAGATAGATGATATAGATATAGATATAGATATAGATTATATAGGTAGATGTAGATATAGATATAGAGATGCATATATCTATATACATGGTCTGTCCAAAAAAAGTCTCACCATTGATAAAGTAATGAGAATGGTTTGCTTGACATAAATGTAACGTGACAGCCAATGAGAATGGATTGGACTGTGCATGCTTGAATAATGATTACTTCATTATAAGAGTCAGTGGGGGTGGTAGATTCCATTAAGTGAGTATCACATTTTCCATTAAGTTTAAACATTACTCTATGGAAAACATTTAGATGATTCAGTAGGCCACAGAAACTGGTGATTGGCAGCTTCATCATGACAGCGTGGCTTCTCATGCATCATGTCTCATGCAAAGTTTTTGGTGAAACCTCAAATCACCCAAGTAATTCAGTCCCCCAATAGCCCAGATTTGTCACCCTGTGACTTCTTGCTTTTCCCAAAACTCAAGTCACCTTTGATAGGGAAGAGATTTATTTCAGACCATCAATGAGAGTCAGGAAAATATGATGGGGGCAGCTGATAGTGACTGTGAGATCGGTGTGAGGCCCCAAGGCGCCTAATTTGAAGGGGTTGAGGCATCATTGTTCTAGGTACAAAGTTGCTTTTATCTTGTGTCTTCTTCAGTAAAATTCCTTATTTTTCATATT